ACCTCGTAGTCCGCCTCGATGGATGTTGGAGTCCGTTAGCAGCAGCAAAGTACACAATAAAAAGTTCTAATAAAGCCAAACTTAACAAAGGGAAAAAAAGTCTGGTTAAAAGCTGATTTTTCTTCTCCTCTTTGACTTTAAATGAAACCAGAATGTATAAAATAAACATAATTTTTTACTCAAACCAGCGACTGGAACCATGAACTCCTCAGGAAAGACTTTCATATGGCTGGAGTCCAGACAAGTCGCCCCCTGCTGTTCATTAGAAACAATGCAGGTTTTCATGTCTCTTCCTTTTCAGGTCATAAGTGGAAACAGGGCATGTGGTCTAAAGAGGAGATCGACATCCTCATGAGGAACATCGACCAGTACGTGAAGGTACGTGGGGTTGGTCCCTGACATAATTTCTGCCTCTGTGACGTCTGATGACGTTAAACTGTTCTTGTGGCCACGATCTCAGGGCCGCGGCATCGAGGACCCGGCAGAGATCATCTTTGAGATGTCCAAAGAGGAGAGGAAGGACTTCTACCGCTCCGTGGCGTTGGGATTGAACAGGCCACTGTTTGCCGTCTACAGACGAGTCCTCCGGATGTACGACAACCGCAACCATGTCGGCAAGTGAGTGCACAGAGAAAAGATGGTGTAAGAAACACAGTGCAAGTTTGTTGGTTTTTGTTTAAGGAGTGGTTTGTGTCTTAGGTACACTCCTGATGAAATCGAGAAGCTGAAGGCGTAAGTACAACTTTGTTTTTAACGAGCGCTTGATGACGGTGTAAAATGGATTTCACACTAACCCGTGTTTATATGTGATGCGTTTAGGTTGAGGGAGAAACACGGGAACGACTGGGCGACTATCGGTGCTGCACTAGGTCGCAGTGCATCCTCTGTGAAAGATCGCTGCCGGCTGATGAAGGACACGTGCAACACAGGTACTGCACAGCAGCCGTTTGTACTTGTAGATATTTAAATGCTTGCTTTTATTTTGAAATTCGCTGTTTTTAAAAACCAGGTAAATGGAGCGAGGACGAGGAGCGACGGCTTGCCGAGGTCGTATACGAGATGGCAGGGGTGTCACCGGGGTCGGCGGTCACAGGAGGCGTGTCATGGGCGACGGTGGCTGATCGAGTCCGCACACGCTCAGAAAAGCAGTGTCGGTCTAAATGGCTGAACTACCTGAACTGGAAGCACAGTGGAGGAACTGAGTGGACGAAGGAAGATGACTTGAATCTTGTACGCAGGTACGGCGGTGAGGGCGTGCACACGTGTGTGTGAGCGAGCATAGTAAACCATGTGTAAGCTTGATACCGTGTTTCAGGATATCAGAGCTTGACGTGGATGATGAGAATGAAATTAAGTGGGAGGATCTCGCCGGCGGATGGAGCAGCGTTCGATCACCCCAGTGGCTCCGATCAAAGTGGTGGAGCATCAAGAGACAAGTGGCCAATCACAAGGACATCCCCTTCAGTGGTATGGATACACACACACACACACACACAAATTAATACCGTCATTTATTTCCTCATGTTTCTGATTCTTTTCTTCTATTATTAAAATCTCGTGATGTGGTTTGCGTCGCTAGTCCTCCTGAAGGGCCTCCAGGAGCTCATGGCCTCCTCGCAGTCAACATCTGTTCCGGGCAGCCCCTCCTCCCTTCAGATCCGACTCACCCGATTAGACGAGAACAGCGGCGGAGCCAGCCCCGCCCCTAGCTCTGTGGCCGCACTGCAGATTCCCTTACAGATCCCGCTGCAGATCACACACCTGGGTGAGCCTCGCACGCCTGCACTACACCACCCACATGTTCACTTCCTCTGCGTGTGCTGCTGCTGTGGCCACACTATTTTTTTTTTTTATGGAGATACTAAACCACCATAGAAGAAGAAGAATTAGAACCAGACTACGCTGATGAATCAGAGAAGAAGGTGACTGAGGTTTACCTGTTGGACAGCGTGTAACAGGTGTGCTGCCTGCAGCTGAAGATGTTCTTGTCCTGACAGCGAGACCTCTGACTGTTGCTCTGTTTGTGTTTCTGTGTTAGCGTCAGATTCAGCGGCAGCAGCTAGCGACAGCGAGACCATCACACTGAATGCTGGAGCGCTGCAGACCTTTGAGATCCTGCCGGTAAGCACCACAAGCGCCTTTCACAATAAAACACATGAATATGAATGAATTTAAAACCTTTTCTTTGTGCAGTCGTTCCACCTGCAGCCCACCGGCACCCCAGGAACCTACTACCTCCAGACGACACCCAATCAGGGCCTTCCATTGAGCTTAGCCAATAACAGCACCGTTACCCTGACGACGAGCTCCTCGCCCTCATCTCATGAACACATTATCCTCCACAGTCTGTCGGTCAGTTTATTGCCCTGCTGAGGGTAAACGTGTGTGTGTGTGTGTGTGTGTGTGTGTGTGTGTGTGTGTGTGTGTGTGTGTGTGTGCGCGTCTTTTCACATGCTTTCCATCTCCAGGCCGACAGTCTCTGCTCCAGCGATGGCGTCATCATCCAGACTGTCACCTCTGACCCCGCCTCCTCCTCCTCTGAAGCCCTCAGCCAGCAGCAGCTGGTGGTGGAGACTGAGACCCGGGGCCAGGACGATCGTCTCGACGCCGCAAGTCTGTTGGAGGGGTCGGAGAGTGTCGCCACGGAAACTCAGGAGCCAATGACGAATGGCTTCAGTGACACAGACAAAGTAGAAGCTTCAGTTTTTCCTCACACGTTGTTTGCGTGCTTTTAATTCGAAAAGCTTTCTGTTAGTATCGTTCTGTTTTTGTTGAGAAATAAAGGGGTGGACAAAATAATAGAAGCCAGTTTTGTGGATTAAAACTTTTTTATGACCAGAATATGTAAGAATTTTAACTTAAACAAAACAAATAAATATATTTGTACAGTGAGAAAAAACAAGGGGGGAGGGTGGGGTCACAACACAACCAAGTCAGCTGTGTTGTCCTTGTACCCAGAGGGAGCACACAATGATGACTGAACAATACAACAGTGTGTGTTTGTGTGTGTGTCAGGGCCTGCGTTCCCCCCCGATGGAGGCTCCAATGGTGCATTCTGGGATAACGTCTGGGAGTGCCGTGCTGATCGTGTCTCCTCCCAACATCAGTAGCACACTAACGGGTAACACGCACACACAGTTAAAGTAGAACGTAACTGCGAATCTATGCTCTGCCTCCTGTCAGTGAAACTATGGCAACCGTGACCCATGAGGCTCAGCATCTCCTTTACTGCTCAGAGACGAGTCCCTGTGTGCTGCGTGCGCTGCTTTAAATTCACACTGTTTGATTGGGTTTTCAAGCCTTCGTGTCTTTTAAATGATGAGGTTGTGCTTTAGTGTCCACGCCGCCCAGCTGTATGGCGGGGTGGTGAAAATACCCAGGCTTCCAAATCTGATGCCCTCTACCCCTGTGGTGCTCTTGGAAATTCTGATGATTAAAAATAGAAAAATAAATTAAAGAAACAAGAATTGTTTAACATGAAAAATATAGCCTGAAGTTTCTCTCCAAGTGTGTAATCAGAGTATTCATACTGCTGCACGAATTTCACCTGAGCATCACTTCCTTTCTGTTTTTCATCAGATCCCATCTTGGAAAACCAGGAAGTCTCTGACTGAGTCGGACTTCCCGCTGCAGCTGTCGCTCAGGGCGACACCTCCACCCTTGGGCTTGACCCGGCATGTCAGACTGTGATACTCCCTCCTCTCCTGCTTCCCGTTTCCTCTTTAACGGATGCAAGCACTTTAAAACTAAACGGAACATTTTTGGAGTCCCTGAATGAAATGACCGCAGTGCCAAAGAGACTCTAAAGCCTGGACACTTTAATGTGAATGGACCCTTGGATCTGAAAAATCCTTTTTCATTTTACATGAAGTTGTTTTGTCGGGATGGTGACAAAGATCAACAGAACTCAAAGGAATAGTTCAATGTTACACATTTTCCACCTGTTTTTTCATGACTTAAGTACACCTTTATTTATTTATGCTCATTTTTGAACTTTAAATCGTAAACTGCTGTTTTCAGCAGGAACTTATGTGAAATTTTAAAGTAAAAAAAACAATCCTGAAGCTGTGGTCAGGTTGGCTTTTATTGTGAAAGGCTGGGCTTATTTGCCCTAAAGAGGTTTATCCTGTTCCTCTGTAACACACAACTCTGTTTCCATTGTTTCATAGCTGGTAATGCCTGTAACACCCGCTGGATTTATCCGCAGCTGAAAATAGTCCGTCAGAGAGCATTCATTCCAACAGATGGCGCAGAGACGGGAGTGCTGCTGGTTTTGATGTTTTTTGTGAGTTTTGCTTGAACTAGTCAGAAGTCATAGCTGCCCACAGAGGCAGTGATTTCTTACGGTTGGTGTAAACATAAGCAGCCTTGCATGATTAATGAGGAATCCAGATTATAGTCTGGTTTGGTAATTCTGGGCAAACCGGCCCTTTAAACAGGCCGGTTGGAGGATTTACTCCAAACTAATTAAGCACCAGGGTTCTTCTTGCCATTGTTCCCTGGTTGCTAATGCTGCCTCGTGCTGTGGACGTATCAGATTCTACCTGATCATCATTCAACCTACCAAACGTCGCTACTAGTTAGTTTTCTGTCTTCTTTCTGTTAGACTCAGGTTTATTATCTTTAGATGGAAAATAACCTCCCGCTCCTGTTTTTTTTTTTTTTTTTTTAACTTTATTGAAAAGAGGATCTGAAGGCTTTTAAACCCTCGATGGTGTTTTTTGGAAAGTTGGAAAACTGAAAACCTTATATGAATAACAGGTCATAAAGCAGGAGCAGCAGGAGGAATGGATGCTTGAGGACTGAATGGATCTGAAACAGCCAGATTAATAACAGTGACGCAGTTTTATGGGTAAAACCATTTACAAAGCTTTCATTCATTTCCACTGGTGCTACAGCTGGCCTGAGAGAGAAAAAGGGTAGAGTGTGTGTGTGATTTAGAAATGCTTAGTGCAAAGAATTGGCAGTCTGTGTAATTCGGCATTTAAATCCAACTTAAAATCCTCTCAGCCACATGTGGACAGTAATTATATACACGGTTATCAGAAGCCGACAGACGGAGAAAACACAGGTTTGCATATTTCCGATGTGCTGCTACAGCCGCCTGCTAACGTCTACAGTACTGAACTGCTGCTTCCCTCCATGCTCACAGCCTGCATCCAGGTTAAAGGAAAAGCCCACCTGGTTCTCACCTGAGCAGGTAACAGCAGCAGAATACATCTGAGGACAGAAAGCCCCCTGAATGCACCACTATGGGTTTTTATATTAGTTAATGGTAACAGACCACACACACCACCATTAGCTTCCGTTTTCTCTCCTGAGAAGGGGTGGTGGTGGCATGGCATACTATAATCCATAATTAGCAGATTCTCAGACTAACAGATAAGATGAGGTTATGGTATGACAGTGGCCTGGTCCTTTGTTCCCTTTGTGAGCTTGTCTATGTTTGAATGTTTGAATTGTTCTGAAGAGTCCACTTTGGAAGTAGATTTAGGATAAAACATGTTTATGCCTTCATAATGTCCACAGTCTGTATATAAAAGATGGACATGGCCATTGTGATGTCTCAGGTTTGTTGGGCACCACCATGGTTCATCTCTGCTGCAGCTGTTAAAGGTTTGAACAGTGTATCAGGATAAAAATATGTTTATTTCTGTGTTTTAACAAGGGAGTCTACCGACTCACTGCTGGTGCCAGCCTCTAGTGGCCACTAGAGGAACTACAGGTTTTGTTTTTAGACACTTCCTCTCTGGTGTTGTCGGCCCCTTAAATATGAGTGGGGTGGGAAAAAACAGAGCGAAGCTGGTGAGTAAAGGAGCTCTCTGACATCCAGCCTGCATCCCTGCCTCCTGCTGTCCTGTTAATGGGACCTTTGATGGCGTTTTGTTGGAGTTTAATGATCAAAACTCATATCTTTAAAGAACTGCAGATCAAACGTGAGAGTGAAGGAAAGCTAAATGTAAAAGACGTCAGATTTAAAGCGACTCTGAGAATCAGAGGTGGATTTTTTGTGCGTATAAACAGTCGACTGTGTGTTGTGCTCCAGCAGTTTGTCTCTTACAGTACATCATCATCATCCCACACTGAGTCAAGTCTCTGTGCACAGTTCCCACTGGTGCTGATTCCACACCAGGTTCAAGTTTATGTAACAGTTATTATTTTGGTCATGTGACTCCTTCACGCTGGTCCTGCTCATGAAGGCTACGTGTTCCCTTGTTCCCGCTTCCTTGGCCCTGCCTTTACCTGACGTCATGGAAGTAGAGGTTGGCACATATACACAGCAGCACGATGGACGCCAGCATGAAGTAGATCAGATTCCTGAATTTGGGCTCCAGGTTGCCCTGCCGGTACCAGAATATCTGCAAGACAGAGAACAGACGTTTAAAGGCTCCCTTCTGTGACCCGGCGACCTTTGCGTGAGCATTTGGCCATGTTTGTTTACCAGCACTAACGTAGAGCTGCAGGTCAGCAGGATGCACACGGCGAAGAAGATGTTCAGCGGCCGCGGAGGCATCGTGGGAAACACAAAGGAACAGATGACAGTCACCTGCAAAACAAATGCTCGTGAATAAAAATACATGCTAGTGAACATACGTCACTCTTCTGTACGTTCTTTTGAGCACAACCCGCATGAAGCAACAGTCGCAGCCAGAGATGGTAAAGACTTCTGATAGCTGTGGTTGCTAACACTTTTGGTCGTGCAACCGTTTTGCAGTCAGCTGACATGAACTTGTCCATTCTGGTCATGCGACACAAACTGAAAGCGTTGTCCTTCAAAGTAAGGGTTTCATCTCAGGGCTCATGTTTCAAAATGTGCAACTTTTACTTTGAAGGTGAATGTTCCATTTTCTGTTTGCCCCCCACTTTTTGGGGTTTTAATGCCGTTCCACTCAGTGAGTGTTTGCAGATATGCTGATGTCTCGTGTGCAGCCTACAGGAAACCATAGACAGCTGCGATTTCACCTAGCAACACCAGGTCTGGGAACAACATTCTCCCCTCACGACCTGTTTTTACTATCACATCCAATATGGCCGATAGCTCCAGGGCGAGATGTCGCTGACCCTCGGGAAACACTTTTCTGATAAACTTACTGGCTCAGTCCCACGTTTTTAGGCACACTGAAGAAAAGATAAAAGCTGGTGAACTTTGGTTTGGTTGAAAGGAGGGTTACCTGAGGTATGCTCATTGGTTCACAGCTTGTGATTGACAAATCATTAGCCGTAAGGATATCCAGCTACCTGGTAGATAATTTAGCTGCACAAATGTTAAATGATGCTGTTAACAGTTATGAAAATAATCCCAAGTTTGAGTTCCTTTATTCTACTCCTTACTCTGAGCTTCAGACAAGACAGGCAAGGCCAGGCTTTGTAATTCTGTCTCAGGACACCAGCAGCATGGGTTTTAGATCAAAGAGGTCTCTGGCTGATGGACAGATGTGTTCAGGGACAAAAAAAAACAAAACAAAAAAAAAGATGGAGACACTGCACTGAGAGGAGAAGAGCAGCAGCTGCTAGACTGGCTGGTTTCACCTCCGCCCACTCAGGAGCGGCTTCTTCCTGTGTGCCAGAGCAGGTGTGGTGACATTTTTTTAGGTCTGTATGAACGATGTGGAACTCACCAGAACCACCACAGACGTAAATCCCCCCACCGCCGTGTTGATGATTCGATCCTGCAAGAAACAGATCAGATGAGTGCATCACCCTGAGGATTACGCACTGCTGATCAGACCTGATCATTTTCAGCTAAAGTGACTCTAATGAATTACTTCAGTACAAGCAACAGTTAATAAATATTCAGATTAATCCGCTGCTGAAAGTAGTCCTCAGCAGCTTTTGCTCTTTATACACAGCCCAGTCGCTCTCCTGCAGAAACATCAGTAATGGCTGACATCATACCCGAGCGGATGTCTCTCCAAACAGCGGTCTGTTGTCCAGGCCACTCGTGCCATACGTCCTTGTAGTGAAGTCATCCATGGCGGCGCCGGCAGTACAGCCCCGACTGATCGTTTCTCAGCAGCGCCACTTCGTGGAAAAGCTGCGACAGTTCTGCTGCATACTAGCCGTGTCTTTCTGCACGCCGGGGAGAAGACGGTCAGTGTGGGCGGAGCCGTGGGGACATTATAGAGGTGTGGGCTAAAGGGACCAGGTAGGCTGCTGCTGCTCCTCCTTCACTTTAGTGACAGAAAACAGACTGTTAACAAGAGGCAGCGTGGGCAGCGCTCCCTGAAAAGCATTAAATATCAGAGTGTCAAAGTTTCTCTGAGGAACGACATGATTGTCTGTCAGTAGTGGTCAGCCGCTGCCGCCAATCAAAGGATACGTCAGAAAGATTTACACTGTAGTTCCTCTTGCTTCACTTCCTCTTTGTTTAGGATAGATAACAAACCACAGCTGCTGATATCGATACAGTGAATGGTACAGAAAGAGGAAGCTCAAATCAAAACCTCACAGACTCCTTTAAAGAGCTGTGAGCTACAGCGTGTCGTTAGTCTGGCGGTTCACAGGCCGCTCAGTGAGATCATGAGCCCGTCGCTGCTTGCTCACACGTTGACCTCACTACTTTACAGTGTGACGGAAAACCGGGAGGAGAAGCAGAAAACATCGCTCTGCTTCTGCAGTGAAACTGAAACAAACACCTGCTGCTGCACAGTTCTTATGAACACCATTAATATTTCATACACAGCAGAATTCACTTTATATAGAAAACAAAGTGACAGCTGTGGCTGAGGCACAGAGAAGCCAGCCACATCTGGAAGAAGATTCCACCTGATCCCCCCAGAAGCAGCAATGCCTGTTCTCTATAACAGAAGCTTTGAAACCCCCGTGAGGGATGCAGTGATAAAAACAAAAAATAAAAATAAATAAAATGGAACCTCGGGCCTCCCGACTTATAAACCCTCCTGCAGCCTCATTGCCCGTTCCATTTGATTTTCTGTTGTTATAAAAACACCAATAAGGACACATTTACCGCTAAATCTTTACACTGGTGACACAGCGGCCTCCTCCAGGCTCTCCCAGGCTGCAGATTTTCCTGTGTTGAACCTTAGTAAAGCCTTTAAAAACACTTAAAGTGTTTATTAGAGAATTCCATCTATAAAGCACGTAGCAGCTTGGCGTTTCGTGCTCGGATTTTAATTTTATCCTGTTTGTTTTTGTTATCTTTGATAACGTTACAAAAATAAAAAGTTTCATCTCAGGAGAGTTCCTGACTAAAGAAAAAACAAATATAGTTCATGAGTGTTTAAAGAAGGATGAGCATATTAGGAAATTATTTTAACTCAGAGGTCGCAATACTTATTTATCGTATTGTTTTATTACTTGTTATTCTGTTTGTTAAAAAAACAAAAATAACAACTACTTATTTATTACTTCTTTTTTTTTTAAAGAACTTCTGTTTCTTCATTATTTTGTTTCTTTTAGCTCCGGGACCGTGTGTACATAATTTCGTTCCACCTCATGTTAACATGTGATGGAAATGACAATAAAGCTCCTTGAATCCTGGAAGAGGAGTCTGGTGTCAAAGGTCGGCGGCACCAGCGCACGTTTCTGTCACAGATTTTATCTGGTGTAGCTTCTTCAGACACCGACATCAAAGCTGGTTTTAGAAAAATGAACAAAAGCCAGATGTGGACATTAGACTGTGGTGCCCACAGTGGCTGTCCCACTGATCACTGAGTCACTCCTCTGCAGTCTGAGGGCCTGAACAGGAAATACTGGCAATGTGGAGCTAAACTTTACTAAAGCTACAAAATGTGAGCCTGCAGGGTGACGACGTCGCCACACGGGCACAGATGCATCCTCTCAGCAGATTAAAGCACCACTTTCATAAAGGCGGCTGCAGACGTTTCTTCTTTTCTGGGTGAGAAGGCGGCAGGAAAGGAAATAAAACCCTCAGCAGAGCTTTCTCAGCAGAAAAAACAAGAGTGCAAAACAACAGCTCTTTTATCACAGAGCGTACGGTCGGCCCAAGGCGACATTCCTCCTAAGCCTTGTGATTCACTAGGCCGCTTAACAAGAAACCCTGAGTCTGAACAGAGGCACCGAAAAACAAAAATGACACCCCGATAAATCCAGATAAAGGAAGAACGCAAACACAGCAGCTTCATACCGGCACAAATCAGAGGAAAATATCGAAATCTGCACTTTAAAACACACGAAGACACACCAGGACTGATACAGGCAAAACTAAGGAGGAGAGAGGGGTTGTGTAGTCATAAAGCAGTGGTCATTCTCAGAGTACAGCGAGAATTTGCCAGGAAAAAGCATAAGGCTATAACATCAGATTTATGAGCAGAAAAACTGTAAAATCTTTGTCAAATGTGTGCTGCTTTAATATGTACGATTTTCTCACAAACCTCTGACTTTAGAAAGTTTTTAAACTCATCAAACATGATTAAAACTGATTTTTAAACTCTATTCCACTGTAAACGCCACGTTTCTGAGATCACTTGTGTCGATCTCAGACAAAATGTGGCGCGACAGTTGAGTGCGCCTGCGTTTTCACGGTACAAACACACGGGTGTTATCTGATGTCCTTTCTTTGCTTGTGTCGTGCACACTTCAATCATCCTGCTCTTGTGCAACTGTGGCACCAGCAGAAAGGTTCCAAGGAGCACTCTCGATAGGAACCACGTTCCCACAGCTGTGATCGATCAGCTTTAACCTGGACAAATGTTTGTAGAGTGCTACACGTTTTACAGAGCTCAGAGCTTAATAAATGTAAACAGTGTGTTACTGTAATGAAAAAAGCATTAAGCACAAACAGCCTGACAGCGAAGTCCCATGTGATGAAAGTTTGATTATTTACCTCTGAAATGTTAGCAGGACCACAGTTTTGGTCAAAAACGTCTCTCTTGTCAGTAATGGTTGGTTTCAAGTTACAGGGACATAAAACCACAGACAAGCTGCATAAAAAACAAAAACAAAAAACAACACGGGGAATTACTGAAAATAACTTGTTAGTAATCATTATTGTTTCAGTAAATACCAATTTCCAGAAATCTCAAAGTCTTTAGCATTGAACTGTCCTCCAACACAGAGAAATTAAAGAGCTTTAATCTGCTTTGAAAACATAGCCTGACTCAAATTGATGCTGTGCACTCTGCGGGCTCAGTATATAGCTTATCGTGTCTGTAATCGCTCAAGTTCACTCAAAACAGCTCATTAGCTTCACCTGAGGGTTAACGACCATATGTTAGCACTACGAGGAGAAAACGCTGGAGAAGAGCTCGTATCTTAGCCATTAATATTATTAAGCATGCATAGAAATGGAAAAGAGACGGTAACCTTAAAGCTGCCTTCAGTAGTGTAAGCTAACCTGAGATTTACCCGTGATAGGGCCAGCACCGAAGCGGGTGATCTGAGCTAAGCTAACTCCAAACAACTGCTCCCCGGCTGCTCGAGAAGAGCCCACAAATTTACCAAAAAATCTTCCTCTAATCTAAATCTTCCAGTGAAACATACCTGCCTCCCACTTCTGTGTTGACTCTACTGGAATCAACTTCAGAGCGATCAGGGTCACAGTTAAAGGGAATTAAAGCCCGGCAGGTCCGCATCGAGCTGTTATCACAGCCGATCTGTAAGATAGCCATTCCACTTCCTGTCGGTCCCACTGTACTTCACCCTGGAGCGCAACAGGGGGCGCTCCTCAGTGAGCAGGAGTGAGTGTAGATACACGGCTAAAATAGTTACTTAGACTTGCTTATAGCTTTAAAAGGTCACATTTTATTGTATTATTCGCTAACACCGTATTTATTCTGCGTCTGAATTGAAATAAAACGGCACTACGTTTTAGTTTTTCACGCTGTGAAACAAATTTACCTATTCTGTCAATGCTTGCTGAGTTGCCTGGTAAGGTATTTACGACAGTAGGCAACTCTTGATGGCACATATTTATGGACGATAAACATGCGTACATAAAACATAGTGGAAACGTTTAAGTGTTCGGAATATTTAGTTGACTGAGATGAGTGAACGTAATGGTACAAAGAGGTAGCTGCTACAAATTCTCTGATGCTGCCGCCTTCTTGCCTGAAATCAAAATGGCAGCTGCCGTAAAGTTGCTAATGGTGCTGTGACGTCCCTAATAAGCACAGAAATGCTTTTTTAACTGCACGTAAAACCTGTGAAAAATTAAAGTAGAATGATGTTTGTCATTGTAAAAACATATTTGTTTAAAAATACGATGAAAAATTTTAGAAGATAATTGTAACAAGGCAACATTTACATTTTTGTGTCGCCGTCCATTGCGGACTAGCTCACGAGCGCCCTCTAAGAAACAGCAAACACAAAATGTCGGGAGTTCCAGTTTCCATTAAAAGCTCTCTGCTGTTAAAGGCGAGTGGAATTATTGTTGGGCCGACGCTTAGGCCGAACTCCATAAAAACCAACAAACACACAAACAAAACTGGCCGTTTATAACCAAAAGCGCCGTGTCTAAAAAAAGTAAGAGTAATGTAACAGTGGCCACTAATAGGCACGCTATTTTAACAAATTGTTTTTTAAATTAAGTTTTTTGCAGTTTAACCCGGTAAATATATTATTTTATACAAAACATTTCTTAAAAAAAAACAACGATTTCAGGTAAACAGAAAGATTTTTTTAAAATTGGATATTTAAAAGCAAAATTTCCCGTAATAATTTCAGCACCCTGCTAAGTTAAATCACTCAAACTCTGAATGGAGTTCGGTGTGAAGAATAAAAGACTTCTGTCATAGCAACTTAAAGCAGTCCTGTAATATGAGTAATGGTATTTCACTCGATCACCTCCTGCCTGTAGCAAGGCCGGATCAACTTTCTTTAATTACAAGTTAATAAGCATAAACACACTCCAGGGGCAGCTAAATAACCACTGGGTTTGATTTGAGGTGGGGGAAGCCTGAGATCTGAGAAGCAGTGGGCCCATACATAATCTCACCCCTCATGTTAGCATCACATGAGGGCAGTGTGACAGGCCCTGAGATTAACCCCAGCAAAACAGACCCAAAGAAAGAGAAACTCATGCTTGCTTGAAATCTGTTCTAGAAAATAAATTCCTGCAATGACGTAACTGAAGCATTTTCTCAGAATACAACTTCACTTCAAGATAACGTGACTCACTTTCGGGCCTTGAGTCTAACATACTTCTTACACAAGCATTATTATCTCTAAACCATCAGTAAAACTGATTGTTTGATAATTAAATCGCTTTTTTCTAACTACTGTCTAACTCTCGTGGAAATAAAAACCCTATTATTTTCATAATATATCAGCTCAGATGGTTTACAGGGTTAGAAAACTGTGTGCTCAGTGCTGAATTAATTCATCTGTTAAAGAATATGATTATATATATATATATATTTTTTTTCTGTATCTTAGGAAGGCTTTGCACCTCCAGATGATGAAGACCTCGATGAGCAAGCTCACCTGGACCAGGATGAATACTGAACCCATCGTGTCCCTACCCTCAAACATCTCCATCTTTCTTCCCCTCTTCTTTTTCCCCT